CATTGATGCAAAATACTCATTTAGAATCTCACCCATTTGCTGTGGTTCCAAGCATTGGTGGCCTTGCTGATCATTCAGGGCCCTATCTTCTCCCTAGTTACTCTTTTATCTTTAATGTACTGATAGAAATCCTCTGAATTCTCCTTAACACTATTTGCCAAAGCTATCTCATGTCTCCTTTTTGCCGTCCTGATTTCCCTCTTCAGAATATTCTGACTGTTCTTTTACTCCTCTCGGGATTGACTCGATCTCTGCTGTCTAATCCTGACATATGCTTCCTTCTTTCTCTTGACTAGAGCCTCAATTTCTCTTGTCATCCAGCATTCCCTACACCTACCAGTTTTGCCGATCATCCTAATGGGAATATACTGTCTTTGGACTCTCGTTATCTCATTTTTGAAGGTTTTCCACTTTTCTGACATTCCTTTACCTGCAAGTACCCATGCGAAATCAACTTTTGAAAATTCTTCCCGAATCCCATTAAAATTGGCCTTTCTCAGATTTAAAGCTTTAATTTTTAGATCCAGTCTATTCTTTCCATAACTATTTTAGAACTAATAGAATTATGATCACTTGCCCCAAAGTTCTCCCCCACTGACAGCTCAGTCACTTGCTTCACCTTATTTACCAAGAGAAGGTCACGTTTTGCTCCTTCTCTGGTAGGTACATCCACACACTGAATAAGAAAATTTTCTTGTACACACTTAACAGATTCCTCTTCATCCAATCTCTTAATGCTATGGCAGTCCCCATCTATGTCTGGAAAGTTAAAACACTCTACCATTAACACACTGTTATTCTTACAGATAACTGATATCTCCTTACAAATTACCTTCTCAATTTCCCGCTGACTTGTTGGGGTGTCTACATGCTTCAGGAAGGCAGCTTACCACCTTCTCAAAGGAAACTGGGCTTAGGCAATAAATGGTGTCCAGGCCAGCCACACACATCCGTTAAATCAATCAATCAATGGGCTGTGTTTTTTATCCTCAGGCTATCAATTTACTTTCAACGATGAGCAGTTACTCAGTGGTACGGTACGTATGTTCAAGTGGATACAGCAGATGCCACTCTCTCACGCAAGATGATAAGGGTGTCTGAATGTACACCGATTTCTCAACTTGCTGCTCTCCTGAGAAACTGACAGTATAAATCAGCACCTTCACAGAAACTTATCCATTTATGTTTTACGGATCTGAAACACAAGTCTTATGCCGAAATGACAAGTTTTTTTTTGTCCATTTCTCAGCTGTAAATATCGCTAGTTAAATCATTATAATTGTCAACTCAAACTGCCCTGAGAAGTTGATCTTGGTGTGTCTGCTTGAATTGTTGCTGTAACTTTCTGATACTTTCTGATAGTCAGGGGAATGGGAGGATACTTCACAGGCACTGAACATAACAGTCACTCACACACTCACTGAGCTTGAGCTGGAAACTGAGAAACAGTCTATGAGATTTCAACATGGAGTGCTGCCGTTTAAAGGGAGGGACAGTGAATGCCCCTATAATGAGAGGAGTGGTGTTTATGAATTGAAATGTTTACACTGTCACTTTCAGTCCAGGTCTTGTATCCTGCAGTGAATTCAGTTGTCCCGGTGCCCTGAAGGAGTTCTCCACCAGCCTAAGATCATTAAAGATGAAATAGAAAATAAACAGATTGAGCATCACTGTGGGACCGGTGGGGGAGGGAGTGGTGAAGTTATTATTTCAATAAGAATTAAACAACTTTAATCAATAATTCTGACAAATATATTAAAATGCTGCTTGTTACATAAGCCATTTAGACAGAGACTCATCAAACTTGCTTCAGATTCCTGCAGTTCTCTGTGAGTTGTTAGAGAGTGGGGACAGACTGGTGTGTGAAGGAGTTTGATCGTAGGTTGAGAAACATGAGTGACGGTTTACACTGACAGCAGAGGGTGAGATCCTCATCACAAGAAGCTGTGAGACCAGTACCCCATTGACTGGGGTCAGAGGAAGAGAAATAACAAGAGTCACGGTTAATTCCATGTTACTGATACTGAGAACAATGTACACCATTTAACATTCACCTTTATATACACAAACTCAGGTTGTAGTACTTCCTGTATTTTCTGCATTTTACCATCTGGTTTTTCTGAGAGTCAGAGACAGTAGTGTTACTTATAAATCTCCCAGTTTATTGCCCCGCAGTCTAAACAGAAACATTCAGAGGGTAAGAAACAAACTGAATCAAACCAGGATCTTGTGTTTTTTCCTTCTTGGATGTCCCAGGAAATGCTGAATAAAATCAACAAATTAATATTCAAAGTTTATTTAATTGACAATGGATTTTGACCTGTCTCACTCTCAATACACTTGGATCAGAGAGCAAATGTGTTTGTTAGCTAAATCACCATCTGTGAAAAGCCTTTAAATGTCCCTCCACCCGGTCTCATTCCAATAATCTCTATGCAGCCTCTGCCATGTTTGTGAAACATGTCCCTCTTGCAGCCTGTTCAGTTCAGGAATTTTGACAAAGGCTGATTTCCCACTGTTTAAATAACAAGATTGTGTTTTTCTGTAGTAGCTGTAAACTCCATTTCCCAGGAACTTTTGTAGCAATATTGTGTCCTGTTAGAAATTCTTAAATCTTACAGCATTAGTTTATAGGGAAGTAGAATTTGTATTGCTCTGAAGTGTGAATCATTTCTTACCTTTCCTTGTGGAGAAATGGCTCAATCTGTGATAGTTTTACAATCTGTTTACCATTTAGAGATAAGAAAGAATTGCCTCAACACCAGAGATTTGTGAACTGTAGGTGCCAGCTGCGGAAGACTTTCACACTCAATGCTGCAAGATTCCAAATCATGTTCCCTTATTTTGTCACATAGTCCAATGAGATGAGACAGGGCTGCATACTCAACTAGTTTCAGGTGCAACCCACAAAACGTGAGTCTTTCTGCAGAACCAAGTATAATCTGAGCCAGGACTTTATTCTGAATCTCAAACAAATAGTGCAATATATTCAAAAGGTTGCTTTCATCATTTTGACTTGCTGTGTTTCCAATCTGACTTTCAAACCTTCTCTTTCACACAGTTAACCACTCGACAGACTGGTTGATGGAAAACGAACCGAGAAAATTCTCCAGGCTGCCTGTGAGGAGGAGAGACCTTTAATAAAAAAGAGAAATATTTCAAATCAACCACCTTCCTCACTGAGACTCTGGATATCGCCAGGATATGGAGACAGAAATTGCACGAGTGCAGCTACAAACTCTTGGACGGTGAGATGTGGGAACATGTAAACCACAGTGTGGACAGAATCATCCTTGTCCAAAACGTTCATCAGGAATCCAGACAGGAACTGGGAAAGTTGCAGATTATACTGGAACCATCATTAAACACAATCTTCATCTCAAAGATTCCTGTGAAGGCCATCTCATCAAGTTTCAGTAACAAATTGTGGGGGTTTTCAATCTCTGAGCCATGGTGTCTCAGAATGTTGTAAATATAATGGGAATAGAGTTGGGTGATGGCCTTGGGAACTCCCTGTCATATTATGTGAAGAAGGGACGCAGAGACAGACCGAAGGTCCAGCTGTACAAAGGAATATAGCTCGTGGTGTGGATGATCTCGTTGTTCTCCATGGGCTTGTGAACAGCTGCTGCCACCGTCTGATCTTCCAAAAATATGTTGAAATATTCCTTCATTGCAAGAAACCCCAGGATCTCAGCCCTTTCCAATAAATGTAATGCAGTGGTACGGGTGGTCACTAGCACTGAACATCCTGGGAACAGCTTGTGCTGGATTAAACAATAAACAATGTCACACACTTCACATCAACATTCAGGATCTGTGCACACAAACTGAGGCTGTGCATTTCTCTGACTCAGAAAAGTCTATAGTGTCCTTGAATTCATCCACACTGTCAAATATAAACAGTAACCTCTCCAGATTCTTCCAGAGCTCTCCCAGAATATTCCCAAAATAAGGATACTGACCCACTATCAGATTCCTCTGGTTTATTTTATAGTTAACAGCGTTCAAATCCCAAAATTTAA